ATTTTGCTGTGTTTACATAAGGGAAGAGTATTAGTTTAGTGTATGTAATACTTGTATTTATTTTTCTTTTTTTTTTTCTTCTGTCAGCAGGTTGTTTAAGCAATATAAGAAGACTAGCATTATCAGCTGAAAATCTTGAAAATAATAAACAGCTAGTAGTACCTTGAACAGTTCAAAATTATCAAATAAATTTGTTGAATTTTATCCACTCTTTTCAATTTGTAGCTAGTGAACAAAATGTTCTATTAATCTAAATATTTTGAAAAATGTTTTAGTTGACAGAACACCTGTAGTCTTTTTGGTAAACCAATATATTTAATGTTATATTTCCAAAATCTCAATTATTATTGCAAATTTATAATAGTAAAAATACGTATTTTTTTAAAATTTCATTTTGAAAATTATCAATTTAACCTTCATTTTATAATTAATACATTCATCTAAATAATTGTTTTGAATACAATAATCACACTTATGATAGGTTGTACTTTTTTTTTTTCAAAAATTTCTCACTTCTTTATAAGAGGTGGCCACAACAAAGTATTCATTTTAGAAATGGAAAAATGAAATATTGTTCTTTTGTTAATAAAATTATGCTAATAATCTATTTGCACTTGTAAATACAAAAATAAAATATTTTGTAGTCTCTACCTACATCTTATTCAATATTATATTTCTTTCTGTTAAGAACATGCAAACAATAAAAAATCATAGAAACATAGGTTGTACATAATAACGTAATTTATTATACTATAAAAGGCAACTGTTTCTTGAACATGGTTTGTGGAACATGTGTCATCTGTTTCCTTTTGAAGGCCAACTGTATACTAAATACAAAAAGGGTTGCAGTGGACCCATTTTGACACTTGAATAACACCCTTAGGGATCATTCATAAATTACATAATGCAAACTTACAGTATTTTGAATAACAGCTCTTCCTTCCGTAAGGCATGCTTGAACTCCCCTTCTAAATGATTATGTTATGCTTGCGACATGCAAACCCCACCCTGCCTCAATTTACAATATGTAAAAATAAATTATAAAGTAGAAACGAGTTGTATGAATTTTATTTGTAATATACATTGAAGTTTATGATTAAAGTCAGAAGTAGTTGGCAGTGCGGACTGCACCTAACAATAAGAAAGTGGACAATTTTTGAAGGAAGTAAGTTTCTGAAAATGGTACCACACATTATTGGGCATAGTTAATCTTTTTCATAGTGATATTTTCTCTTCATAGTTTCATTTTAATGTCAAGTTAATCATGATCATTTTAATGAAGTTAATCATTTAATCAAAATGAAAAATTTTTACTTTTATGTATGTTAAATTACAATAAAATCAAACTAACATGCAGCAAGAAGAAAAATTAACTATATGGAAAAACATTTTGCAAGAAACTGAGAAAAATAACGAAACAACCTACTAGGTTGATTAAGTTTCACCAACTTTCCTTTTGCAACATTGCCAAGTTACAATATTTCGTGAAAGTGCAACAAAATCATCCTTAAATAGTGTACCTGAAAGGGGGATAGTAAAAGCAGCATTAAACAAAAAACGAAGGGCGAAACGTTTATAAGGACTAAATACCAAAAACTCCTGTTCAAGAAGTCGAAAACATAATCTCTTGATACTAACCTGCAAACAAGTGATAAGGCTGAAAAGCATCTGTTCTTCAATGCCTTGTCTCTGCAATGACATCAATGACAACTATATTTTTGTTGAATCAGGAGTTTGGCAGAGCGACCAAAAAAATACTGTAATTTTGAAAAACTGTCGAAGTTGTCTCCAGGTGGTAAAGTTGCTTCGGTTTACGGCACATAATTGAATTCTGTATTCCTCCATGGTTGAATGGTGAATGAAAGTACCAAAAGGGTGAGCAATATTTGAAAACTACACATCTTCGCCACCGAGTTACAGAAAATTTATTTGCATCCACTATTTCACTGGTGAAATTAAAACCAATAGTGTTTCACTATACATTCAAAATGTCTTAAATAGGGCGGTGTATCTCTAAAAGTTTATCGCTTTTTCTGCCCGATTTTTACTTTCCCGTATAGTACATGTATACGCAGTAATAAACAGTATAGGGAAAGTTATGTAATGCTGTGAAAAATCAATTTCGAGATTTCAAAGGAAATACACGTTTGGGGTTCCCCAATACCAAAGTGGTTTTCTCCGTCTGTCCGACCGTCTGGCGACTGATCACTACCACTACTAGCGCCTAAAGAATGTGTAGGATTTTTTTCCAAATTGGTGGTCCATCTGACTCGAATCGATACTTAGAGATTTTGAAAACCATACTTCAAAATTTAGGGGTCATTTACATGAGTCGTCCGGACGTTTTCGAAACGGCACGGGACGGCACGGGACGGCACGGGACGGGACGGCACGGGACGGGATCTCTAGATATTTTTTCTGGTGAAACTGTTTATATCTTTCTTCTTTTTGCGTTCTCGCCTTACGAATTTTTCGTAAGAATAGAAAGTTATGTAATCGTGCGCCAGAAATTGCCAATTTTTTTTCTTTTTCAGTATGTTAATTAACATCACATATTTCTATCACATATACCTCCTTGTTAATAAAAAGCTATTAGTACCAGATATGAACGAAGAATAAGAAAAATAAATATTGTATGTAGAAATGCTAACAAAACTATGTGTGCATCATCATAAACAAAATACTTTAATCGAAAATGGGGCAAACTTTAATTATGTTTTGAAAACTAGATGAATTCCAGAATCACATTCAGTTAATATCATAGTGCGGAAAAAAATGAAAAGGCACTAAATGACAATATGATAAAACAAATTTAAAAAATTCGTTCCGTTGTGACACATGAAGTTTCAACTTGGAATTACCGAATTTTTATTTAAGGAATGTGTTTTTTACTGATACAGATTTAAAGTACACACGTCGAAGTATCGTATCCATAGGCTATGGACCATAGTACATACGATACTACAACTGAGGAGAGCAAAGCTATTTACATCGAAAACTACACCTCTGTTTTTAGTGCGAGAGCGAAGAAATGCGCCGCGCGACACTTGTGCAAGTTCAAACTTGCACTGAAAGGAGTGGCGTGTTCCCCATCCCTCTCCTGATTGGGGAACGATGAAGGCGACATCTTGCTACCCCTTTGATTTGAAATGGAGCTTCTGAATGTATTTATAAGAAGCTGTGCAGTATTGGTAAAACGGGTTCAGTTATGCACTAAGGTGAATATGGTGAATGAATTATGCCATGTTTTGAAATAATTCATTAGTTCATTAATCAATGTAATTTTGTGTATGTATCTTGCGTAAATTATAGTGCCGATTATTTTCGTAAGTTCCTAAATAAAGTAATACTATTATTAGTCCGCTCCTTAATTCAATTTAACTGTGTTACCAACATATTTATTTATATCTTATATATTTCAAAATATCCAATTTCGCTTCAAATTTACCGTGAAACATCCTAAAGAACTGAAATAATTTGCTCATCTTCCACCAGGTCAGAAAATTCCCCTTTTGCCATTATCGTTTTGTTTAGAAAAGAAGAGAATTTGGACTTTCTTCGACTCCTCACCTAATTCCCTTCTTCTGCTATTAAAAATAAACCCAATGTGATTGCTTCATTACTTAAATTATGAAGTCGTCGGAGAACTCCAAATAGAAACAGTGCTAGAACTTATAAAGAGTAACAAATAATTTCTTTCTCATCTCGTCCCGCTCTAAAATTCCACCTAGGCCGAACAGCAAACATCCCAAGTCGAATCAAATCTAAATTTCCCAAAGATATGCTTAAACTTCTCTAGACTAATAATATCATCCCGTAACTCTGTAGAATCTTTCACTTCCCTACCTATTGATTGACAAAGCAATCCTAACAGTTTATCCCCCCAATCAAGATTAAATATCAGTAGCTTCTAGAAGAAAACGAATGAATTAAATGAGCAAGAGTATTTAACCTCAATTTGTCAAGGAATGCCAAAATCCCAAAAAACTAATGCATGTAAAACTAAAATCCCTCGAAAGACCTTAGGTCAAACGAGAAGAAATACATTTTAAAAAAATGAATCCATCACGTACAATACAAGAGACGGAGCGACGTGCCAGTAAGTGTCCGTGCTGTCGCGTCCTATGCGTGCGACCCACACAAAAATTGCCGTCCCCCGCTTTCTCCCCTCGGAGCCTTTCCCCGGCGTGCAGGTTATCTCCAAAGAGGGTCTTTTTACGCGTCGGCCCCCTTTACCAGGTGCCGACATGGTGAAATTGCCCTTATGTTTCTCTTCTACCTTCCAGGCGAATGCCGTTGGGGGACCCTCCCTCGCTTAGGCCGACAGTAGACTCGTCGTCCGACCAGTTCCGCACGTCCAGAGTCCCGCCCGTATCGATCCAGAGCAGCGTCGCTTAACCATAGAGGAGAGATACAATATCTACTCTATTAACTTAACCCGTTTACGCCCAAGTTAAATTTGTGCGCATGAAGCTCGCCCATTGTTGTCGCGTTCGTACGTGCACAGCAGTCGTTGGAGCCCACTGGCAACATGTTTTTGCAACTCTTAATGCTAACCGATTGTTTTGTTGCTAAATAATTGCTACTAGAGCGCTTCAAAGAGCAGACCGTCGATCTTTCGCGCCCGATCGTGTCAGTCATGTGCATGTGCATCGAGTGCATGTAAATGTATGAGTGTGTGGAGGGGCCAAGGTTGAAGGATCGAAGGACCGTGTCTTATTTGTTAAAATACTGCTCCGGCATTCGCAAAGTACTAAGGAAAATGAGGGGATACTGCAGATCAGAGCAGTGGGCCTTCAAGATTTTCCCCCAGACGGCGCAAAATTCGACTTGGCACTAGTGGCATGTAGTAAGTGCAGCAAATCCACCACCACCACCTTCGGGACGGGAAGTCTAGGTTCGCCCGCCCAGAGCCACTGCAGACACAGTTACAATGCTGGGCCTGGACAAGCTAACTCGACCGGGAGAAGGGAGAAGAGCCAATAAAACGCCCCTGGTCTTTATTTTGCAAACGTGTATTCATCTTTCAACAGAGCGCGGTGGCGCGTGTGGTTCAAGGGCTGGCGGCTCGCACGGCGTCCACCCAGGACCACGTGGGCGGCTCCAGGTGGCAAGCGGCGACGGCCACGCACAGGCGCAGCAGCACGGCCCCGCGCCGCACGGCTCCGCACGCGCACGGCGGCCCGGGGTTCCTGCCCACGCGCACCTGCCACACACGCGCGCAAGCGGGCCCTTACGAAACTACACACTCTTCGTACATTGATTAGTGATTCCGATCTAATCAGCTGCTGAGATGATTAGTTCCGAAAGTGTAGTGCATGTTTTATCGCGAGAGGTGACGGTGATCTTCTCCAGCTGGATGGCGAGATCCGGCGCCGACCTACAAGTCAGCTAGCGGTTTTCCCTCAACCAAGTATCTCCACCAACGAGGCACCGCCCCAGCCGGGGCAAGCTCTAAGCACCCGAAGTGTGTGGTACCGCAGTGCACAGAAGTGTAAGAGTGTGTAAGTAAGAGGTGAGGATAGGTCAAGGAAGAGGAAGGTAAGATCCCGAGCAGTCCGTGGCCCGTTTGTTAGGGTACTGCTCCGGCATTTGCCGGTATTGATCGTGGAAACCCTGGAAAACCATCGATCAGAGCAGCCGGGCACAAGAATTCACCTCCCGACTGCTACAGAACTCGACCCTAGCTTGCTGGCAAGTCTGAGAGTCGGAAAGGAAGGATTTGTAAGTCACACCGCTGGGGGTGCCGATGGCTTTCAATTAAACCCTGGTTTCCCAACGGGTTCCATACCGACCCCCCGGCAGTCTATGACTTTTTGGGGGGGTCAATGATAATCAAGGGGTCGATTGGGGTTATACAGCCGAATATGAACTGACGATTGATAGGTACAATCAAAATCCCAATGATTACAAAAATATGAACTTTATTATTAACTGTTTTCGGATACAAAGCAACAAATTACATAAGTTATGCTTTTCCCCTTGTCTTTCGCAACCAACGTTAGCGATGTCCTTAGCATCAGGGGTGAAGGAGGTTTGGTGCAACCGGTGCACCGCATCGAATCCTCCAAGTAAGGAGTTCTTAATAAGAAACCAAGTTCCGCGGAAATACCACCTAAGAATAAAAAAAACTCACACCATGCTTATCTTCTCTATTTCACCACACATATTCTTTAACAAATGAGACATAAAATTCTTATTTTCACTAATGGCAGATCGGTGGCCCATTTCGACTTTCTGCACCAGAACATTCGAATACCTCAATAAGCAATTGCTTAGGATGTTTAGGAAACTCATCAAATTCGCTTCAGTACGGTACTCTACCGCGGAAGAAAATGATCCCTGCAGTGTTACGGGCAGTTGAAAAATGCTCAACATTTTGTAACCATTGCACAACAATGAAGATTAGGTATTCAACTATTCAGAAGCGGCAATTATAGAAAATGTTTTTCAGGAAAGATTCCATATTCTTGCGTTCTGCTTGCCCTCGCAACTTTTCTCGTCCATATATACTCGTACGTGAACGAATCATACACCTTCGCGCGCGTGAACGAATCGTGCCACAAACTGCATTTGAGGCGCTTTCACTAGTAGAAGCGCTGCTGAGCGTCGCTCACCTGGGATCGGGAGAGGTGGCTCAGAGCATCAAGTGATGTCACTGCAGTCCCTCTGACCGGGAGGTCCTAGGGTTCCACTTCCGA